GTCTTCATGTTGTTTTATTTACTGCTTAAGCTTTTTTAAAAAGATGTTGAACCTGTCACTATTAGCTATTCTTCAGAAGTCCTTTTAATCCCCTTGGTTGCTGTAGCTTCTTTTCAGACTAAAGTTACATGTGGCTCTGGATAGGAGAGGAGGGCGGTCAAGACTTTGTACTTAATATTTGCCCGGCTCTTACCGGTTTCACTGCACCAAAGGGAGGCTGTTACTAAAGTTCAAGGTGTTTCTGAACCATCTGCATTTATATTCTCATCTCTTAGAGTTCAGCACACACATAAAAAGTCTCCTAAATGATACAAAAATTCTCCATTTCTACATGAAAGCTTCCTGTCCCTTCAAGTATACTGAGGCCTGGAGGCTTAAACAAAATCCTTTTAGATTATTGTTAATGCCGTGCCTGATTCTGCAGCAGCTGTTGCTTTTGAACATATGATGCTTCTCCTCCCCCAGGAGAAGTAGAAAATGCCTCTTTTGCAGCACTTTCAACCTTTGTGGATTCAGGAGCATAAAACAGACTGAGAGATGAACCTGGGATTCCTATTTGGGAATTCAGTGCACAACTTAAAGACTATTGAGTTTAGCCACTTCCTGACACTGACTTTCATAGCAACAGTTTAATATGGAGAAAACCTGCTACCTCAAATGGCTCAAGGTATTTATGTGGAAAATTTTCCAAATGATTGACTTTACTGTGTTGCTATTTTCTTTCCCCGTGAATATGTGAGGATTTGGCTTTCTCCCAGGAGTTTTTCTGCATCACTTCTCTTCAGGCAAAGAAATTTTTCTATCCAGGGTGGGAGAAGAAAAAGGCAACAAGAGTTTCCCCTTTTAAAGTGAATTATTATTTGAGTTTAAACCACAGCATCTGTAGAAATGAAGGATTTGAGCGTGTCACCTGCTTTCTTGAATGTTCCCATTGCAAATCTTCAAGGCAGCTTCAGTAATCCTGATCATTCCTTTGCAGCCACTGTGATCAGCTCTAAGCTTCCTCCACACCCCCTACCTCTCTCCTCCCCTTTTTCATCAGTCTTAGTGAAGGCTGTCTGCACTCCCCCTCCAGTCCTCCTGTCATGGCTCCCCACTGCTCTTGCCACCATCACCAATGACCCTGTTATTTACTCCAAAGATTATTGTGGATTCTAATGGATCTTTCTTTAGCACTCAGCATGGTTAATCCCATTTTCCTTAGCTTCTTTGGCACCACTTTTCCTAATTTTCCTAGATAGCTTCCTCCTCTTCTGTCCCTTTCTTAAATGTTCCCTTGGAAATCAATCCTAGGCCTGCTTCTCTTCTTACCCAGATACTCTTTTCCTGACTGATACCACCTGCCCCATGACCCTAGTTCCCTGCTATTGATAAAGATTCCCCATCAATTTCTTTAGCCCCGATCTTGCAAAGGCAGGGTACAAAATAAATGTAATTCCTTCTTTCGCACTTCTCTAAGTTCTCTGTTTTAATGAGGGACCCTGTCATTCACTGTGTAAGAGAGACCATGACCCCTTCCTCTCTATCTCCTCTCTCATAAAATAAATTTATTCTATTTTTTATATAAAATTTAACCCCATGTCATCTCCCCACCTGCTGCCAGTATCTTTCCCTCTTCCCTGGTTTACAGAATCAGCTTACATCTGGATAACTGTCATGGGTCTTGCCGCCCGAAAATCCTTCCCTGTGTCCCAGGTCTGTGTTCACCACGTCTCCCTGACCAAAGCCCTCATGCCTGCCAAGTCCCCATGCTCCTCCTCGGGCCGCAGCTTTTGGCACCCCTCGCCTAGCACTGTTCATTTTTGGTCCTTCCAAGTATTTTTTTCAGTTCTTCAAAAACATCATGCTCTCCCCTACGGGCCTTCACGTACTTTTTTTTTTTTTTTCTGCCTGGAACATTCTTTCAATTCTCTCCCCCTCTGGAGAATTTCTCTTCCGTTTTGGGTCTGAAATTGAGATCCCTCCTCTTGGATGCCCTCTTGAATGCCCCAAGTGTAGCAAAGGGGCCTTTCCTAAGAATGCTACCCCATTGTTCCAACAGAGCAAGAGCCACCCTAAATCATAACTGGCTGGTCTGTGTATCCCCTCCAGATGGAGGGTCCTGTGAGGACAGGAGTTCATCTCCTCTGCCAAATTTATATCTCCAGTGCCTGGCATGGTGACTGATGCAAAGCAAGTGCTCAGTAAATAGCTGATAAATGAATGCAGGTGCTCAACAAATAGTTGAATGAATGAATGAGCCTCCAAGTAAACCCTGAACCTGCCTTTTTTACACACAGGTTCAAATGCTTCACTGTCATTTGCAATTCCTTCCTCACTAGTCCAGCTCCCCTAATGGGATGACCGTGACTTTCCCACAGTGCAGACACAACTTTGGTGCAGACAAAGCAACCTATATATCCCAAAGGAACAAAAACTTTACAGAGGTTCTGAGAATTAGCATATGGTGATTGTCGAATCCCAGGGTATCTCTTAATCGAACCTTCACAGTAGTTCACTTAGCTTGTGCTCAGTGGTTAAACTGAGTCGAACCTCGTTAGAGAGGTGGTGTCATGCCTTAGTGCAAAGGGAGAGAATGAGAAATACAGCTTCCATGACCCGGAGGTACAGGAGAGGGGGAGCTCTGTGGGCTGTGGGGCCTCGAATCCATGTGTCTGGGGGTACTGACTCCTAAAGTGGAGGTGAGGGGAGAAGAGCCACACCCACAAGAGGAGTTTAGGATTCTCCTTCTGAATCCCATTCTGCATTCTGTACTCTACAAGCATCTGCTCCCCTCCTTTCCTCTTCCTGGACGGCTGCTGCTTTGCCAGCCTCAGAAGCCATCTGGGTTAAAGTTTTCCTGCCCAGAAGCAAGCCTTCCTGCGGGAACCGTGTGACTGCCGGGCTCTGCCTGCCCGTGCTCAGCTGGGCAGCTCTTTCCCTCCGGTCATTCACTTACTCTGTTCCAGCTGCCCGAGCCCTACCCTTCCCAGGGCTGTGACCAGGGAAGGCGAGTGAGGTGCCCAGGGGCAAAATTTAAGAAATCGCCACTCTCAGGTGCCAGCCCTGCGCGTGGAGGAGCCCGAGTACTTCCCTTGGTGACCCCGCCCCGCTCCTCCTACCAGGGGGGGCCTGTCCCCGCACAGCTGTCCCGCCTTCCGGCCCCTCAAATCCCAGTCCCTGAGACCCAGACCAGAGGCTGCTCCTGCTGAGTCGTACCAGCCTTTCCCACGGCCCAGAAAACCATCCCTTCGCCGTTCTCCCCGTTCTCCATGGGCCTTCCTTACGCCTCTCTGACGGCACTGTACACCCGTTTAGTTCTCAGACTTGTCTGTCTGTCTCTGTGTTAAACTACAGACTTCTTAAGGTCAGCCTTCTCGGTGTGCTCACAATAGCTAGCACAGAGTTTGGAACACAATAGCTGTTCAGAAGTCAGTGAGGTGAGTGGCATAAACAAGGCTAGATGAATGTAGAGAAAATGGGAGTTCCTTGGCAAGGATCCTCACCTGACCCTGGTCTACTTGCCCACCTGTGCACGTGCGATGCTCGCAGGCACATGCTTGCACAGGTGTGGGCAATGAGCTATTGTTGACTCTATAAAGAGCTCCACGCAGTGCTCTGGGGAAGGCTTGTTGCATGCAGACTTGTCCTGAGGTGGATGGGGTTCTAATGCTTGATCTTCCACCATGAGAATAAAGCCACGTGTAAACGTTTTGCCCCAAGAGTGGTCCATTGTCAGTCCACACTGTACTTGTCAGGGCTGAAACCCTCAGGCGAGACACAAGAGAAGAACCTAGTGGTTAACTGAATGAGGGTGGAGGGTGCAGGGGATGGGTGGGCATGGACCTGGGGCCAGTCTACTGGGTTTGACCTCTGGCTCTGCTACTGTGTGTGAGACTCGGATAAGTTACATCACCAGTTTATCCCTCCATTTCTTTATCTTTAAAATGAGATCAATAACGCCACCCCAGCATAGGTTGGTTGTGAAGCCTCAATGAGCTAAAACATCAACAGCTCTTAGCACAAGATTTGCTGCATAGTGAACACCTCCGTAAATGTCAGGATCCAGAATAAGAAGGGTGTAGTGAAGACACAGCGGGTGTGCACACCAAGGGCAAAGCCCATTTGTGACTGATGTCGTAAAGAAAGCTAAATCTGAGCCATCAATAATGGATGATAGAGGCAATGGCCTCCTAGTCTCTGGAGAAGCTGGGTGCCTGTTTTTTTATAAAAGATAAATCTCATCTCTAGTTCAGTAGAAGGGTTTCTCAGGCAAGAAGATGGCAAAGGAAGCTGCCTAAAAAGATAGCTTTTTTAGGAGGGCCAAATGAGCATGGAGATATTAAAACAGGTGTTTAAATGTGCCCCATTTTAATATCTGAAGATTTTGAGGATGGAAATGCAATGCCAGAGGAAAGTCATGTTTTTGCTGCCATCTACAGTCAAAGTGCAATTTTCAAAGTTTGTTGGTACAAGCACCCATTCCCCCAGAAAGGGCATTCTTGACAAAGTGAGTGAGAGTATAGTTTGGTTTAAGTTCGAGTAACTGACATCATTTGGGCATTTATTATAGGACTTTATTTACTATTCTTAAAGTACTTACACTTAGTCAGTAATACAGCCTTTTTAGTATCTCAAATTGTGTTAAAGCTTATCAGAAAATGAGACTATTATTTGTTGGGTGGGATTAACTGCAGCTACTAGCAAACTCAAGAAAATGACACTATTGTTGGGTGGGATTAACTGCAGCTGTGGCAACCAATAGTTTGAGAGTTCATACAACACTTTCAAAGAAGAAAGTAGACGGATTGCATTTTACCTCATGTTTCCCTGCCTCATGCCTGGTTGTTATTAGAATGACTGCAAAATGTATTTTATACAAGCATCTTTTATTGTCTGGATATAAAAACAACCCAAACAAGTAAAAACAATGTGAGGGCTGCTTTCTGCCCCTTTGCTCCCAGCCATATAATCTCCAAGATTATTAAATTTTCCCAACTTTCCTGTGCATTGTTTTAAAGGGTTAAATATAGGCAAGAATTACTGGAAAAGCGTTTGATGGAGAAAGAAGAAGTGGCTCTTCAAGAAGCACATGAAGAAGAAAACAGACAGAGGCGGCTAGAAGCCCTTAGGAAACAGGTGCTTTTAATTTGGAGATTTTCATGGGTGGTTTTGAAGTGCTCTTAACATTTTTAAGTGCACTTAATAACATTATTAGGGCTTAGGTCAGGACATCTGCTATATAAAATGTAACATTTCTAAATTGGGACACTGATCTTCATTCCTGTGAGCAATTAGATTTAGGTTGAACCAGTTCCAGTTTCTAGTATATTAAAAGAATTTTATCAGCACTTTTTAAAAAGCTCTCCCAAGATTTAATACACCCAGGCTACCTCTAGTTTATTAGCTGAATAGTATCCATTTACAGCATTGGAACTTTGCATCTAGCCAAAGGATTTTACTTCCCTCAAAAAACCTGATGGAGCTTGAGCAAAATAACCCCCCTGGAGAGGAACCTCTGTTTGGAAACATCCCATAGTCAACAAACATGTTGAAAACCACTTTTTAAAAGTATGATTTTTGTGGAGAAATAAAAGCCTCCCATTGCTTTGCCTATAAAAGTAGATAAGAGTTTCTAAAGTAGATGGTAGATAGCCAAGAGCAGAAATTTAAGAACTTGGGGATTTTTCAGAATTTTTAACCTGGAAGTGAAATGAGTTCAACTCATAAACTCCAGAATCTTCATTGATGCCATTGCTCAGCTGAGATGAAATGGCTGTGTGGTTTTCCTTCTATGTCAGTAGAACCTCTGGCATCCTTCAAACCTGGTACAACCTGGTTCTCTACTTACTGGTAGAGGAAACTTAGATCTTAATCTCCCTAAGGTTCATTTCCTCCTCTGAAAAATGGAAATAATAAAACTATCTGTCTCAGATTTATAGTAATATGCATTCACATTTTAAAATATTTACTGTGTATAAAACCCTCTTCCAAATGCTCTTAGGTTTTACTTCACTTAGTCTCTACAACAACCCTATGATGTAAATATTAATACTTCTATTTTATGGAAGAGGAAACTGAGGGGGCGCAGAGGTTCCCCAAAGTAACACAGCTACTAAATGTCAGACTGAATTCAAACCAAGGAAGTCTAATTAAATGACATAGTTTGGATGACGTGTAAATGCATATAACTATTATATCATATTTGATAAACTATAGAAATAAATTCAAAGCATAGGAATGTAAGTCCTGGTCATCCTAGATTCAACAAACATATGACTTGATCATTAGAAAATAATTATATACCTGGTATTCTGGAGACAAAACTCAATGTCACTATTACTAAATACATTCATTTTCAAATGTAATTTTGATAACTACAGAGTCCATATGATTATAATTCTTTCCATCTGTGAACCCTTTAAAAGAGGAAATATCTGTGCCAGTTATCTATAATCAGTGTTTAGAACTCTAAGACATTTTGGCTAGGAAACCTATAGTAATTATGTTCAACCCCTGGTTATGTCATTACAGTTTCTAAATGGCATTAAAAATGCTATTTTCCTAATGCTAATTCTTGACTTTAGGAATTAACAGGCAGGTGTTACTAATGATGCATATAATTTACAAAATTAGTGGCTTTTCATTAGGATGCAGGTTTGAATGATTTCAGTGATCAGAAAGGACAAAGGCATTTGGTTGAAAATGACTTGGGCAGTTTTTCAGTAGAAGGGGACCATCCCTGGACATCTAGTTGCCTGGGACAGTGCAGATCCACTCATCTTGCCCAGTACCATCAATACACTCAACATTACCCATGAATGACATACTCTAGATTCAGCTTAATCAGATTTACCCTTCTAGAAAGCTTCATGGGGTTGCTACCATAACCATACATTGCCAGTGGCTAAAAATGAATGTTTTTTTTTTTTTACTTTTTGTTACTTTCAAGGTGATTGAAGATGTAGGTTTTCTATGAAGGTTTCCTGTAACTTTGTATCAGAAAAAATTTTACCCAACTTTAACTTTAACTGTGATTATCCAGCCATTAGCAAACAATTACAGATCATAGTCTTAATATTATGTTTTGTTTTCAAACCTTTGACTCCTTCGTGTATCTCTAGTATTGGCCTGGATTAATAGTCTTCCCTTCCCTCCCCTCTTAGGTTTTATCTTTAGTAAACGTTCTTAACTTTATCTTGTTCCAAAGCCATTAACTTTTTCTTCTTTTAGGTTGCTATTGTTGCTCAGTTTGATCCTGTTAGAATGATGTCAGATACAATGGCATCAAAAGCGAGAATGGGTATAGGAATTGAAGAATTTATTCTTCAAAAGCCACTCTTCACATTGAATACATACAATGAACAGCAGGTAATTATGGAAATTATCATGATTGATACAAAAGCCATGATAAGAATTGTGGAAGTGTATGTTTTGGGTTACACATTTTCAATATTTACATTTGAATACTATTAGCATAATTTTTTACTTCTAAATGATAGCACATAATGACTGCATAATTCTTAATATTATAAAATAGCTGATAGGTGACCATAGAACAAAGCAGCTTATCTAAAAATGTTATCTGTCAATGAAAGATATTTTTTTAATTTGAAAAATAGCTTTACAAAATCTTACTTTAAAATTAGGTTAGTATTTTTTTATTTATCACATTCAGAAATTGTTTCAATTCAGAACATAAATCCTATTAAAGAAACAACTGATGATACTGATAATACAAAGCAGAGGTAAGCTTTCAGAAATTAAAATGAACAGAAGATAATACATCAGAGCTATTGATAAAACATTTTCTGTAGAAAAAGTATTATGGGGTGATTTTACCATTTCTAGGAACTTTGGATTCATTTTAGTCTGTTCCTGTAACTAAGAAGAGATTTTTAAGTTTTTTTTTTTTTAGCTGGATGGAAGGACAGTTGGATGAATGGCTATCACTGAAATTAAGGGAGAAAATAGTTGTTAATTTTACAAATCTAAGGAGAGAGGCTAAATTCTTATTTACATAAAAAGCAGAAAACTTTGTTCACCCACTGACAAATGGAGCATGCCTCTACCATGTGCTACCTACTTTGCTAGGTAGTAAAGGGATGAACAATTCATAAATTGGGCAAACATTAATGGAACACATTCTTTATCTAGCACTGTGCGGGGTGCCAGGTTCCCTCCTGAACAAAATACACTTGTCCTGTGTGGAGGAAGTAGCAGATGAACTGGGTTGGGAAGGAAAGAGCATTTATGGGAATAATGCCATCAAGTTGAGACACCTTCACAATGGAGGTCTAAGGGCTGTCGCGGCAAGGGGCAGGACATGAGCTGTAACCCTGATGGGGGTGTCAGAGAAAGTGGCAAAACAGAATTAAGCTATGTCTTATTGGAGGATTTTTGGCAGCAATAACAATTCATTCCAGATGATTTAAGCTAAAAACAAAACAGGTTGGAGGCAGGAGGTGTGCATAGGGAGAGGAATTAATTGTAAGGATGCAAGGTTCTCTCCAGAAGCCAGAGTGGGGAGGGCACCTGCGGCTTGTAGAGAATTGAAGTCAGAAACTGGAAAGTTCTCAGAGTGCCTGGGCTGAGGAAAGAAGGCTTTCATCAAGCAGAAGAGGAGGGAAAGAGGTCCTTATTGGTGTGTTTTCAGTGTAAAGTACATGGCAGGGTGGGTGCAGGGAGATGAGACTGGAAGCATAGATTAGGGTCAGGCTATGGAAAGTGTAGTAGGTCTTGCTTACTAAGACCATTTGGCCTTTATCCTGTGAGCGGAGGCATGACTTTGAAGCTCGTGAATTATAAAATCAGATTAATGTTGTAGCAACATGTTCTGAATGGCAGATTGGCAAGGGTGGTGGGTGGGGTCAGATCCTTTGTAAAACTGTGGAGACTTCAGAGAAGGTGCGGGAAGGGCAGGAATGGCTCTGGCTGACAGGAGTGGGGATATAATGAAAGTGAGGATGATTCTAAGTTAGGCAGCAAGTGCTACTGAGAAGAGCCTGCATGTTGGATTCAAATACACATCCGCTGTTTACTGGTTGTGTGAACTTCTGAGAGCTATTAACATCTTTATGTCTTTTTTACTTCATCTGTAAAATAATAATTTGCAAGGTTCTTATGAAGATTAGGATAATAAATGTCAATTGCCTAAAATATTGTCTGGCACCTAGTAGTAATTCAGTAAATTATAATCATTACACGTTGCTGCCATTAACCATGTAAGAAAACAAGGGAAAAACAGACTTAGGGAGACAATTTGTGCATGTCTTGTTTAGGGGTGAAGATGGCTAGCACATTTCCGAGTAACTGGCTGCCTCTGGGGAGGGTAATTGAGGAGTTGGAGGTCAGCATTCTAGAGAAATCTACATTTCACTTGCTATCTGTTAAAAACTAGAATAATGAAAACATTTTAAACCTCACAACCCTGGAGCTCAGAAGAGGGGAAAATCTGGAGATAATTAAGGTGGTAATAGTACACAGGTGGACCATGAGTCCTTGGAAGTGGTTGTGACCAGGGAAACCCCTGGAGGAGGAAAGGGGAAAACTAGGTCTAAGGCTCAAATATGTTGCTTCTCAGACATAAGTCCCCATATTGTTCCTGACTTCCACACATCAGTGCCCCTTCTCTGGGTACCTGAGCAGTTGCCGAGTTCTACTGATTCTTCCCTTCATAGTGTTTGACAGTTCTCTCTCCTTGCTACCCGTCAGGTTTAGGCATTTATTACTTCGTGTCTAGACAATTGTGGAAGACTCCTAACCACTCTCCCTGCCTCCTTAGTTTATCCTGAACTTACAATCAGATAGAGCTTCTTAATGAAGTGACAGTGAAAACAAACTTTCATGCTGAAAACAGAAACACAACCTCAGTAGCTCCCTAGACCCCTTAGCATTTAAAATCCAAGTCCCAGCCTTAGAAGTATCCTTTCCCAGTGTTTCCCAATGGTACCCAGCGGTCTCGCCAGCCACCCTGATCCCATGTTGACCTGTACCACCTCTCGTCTGCATGTGCCTTCCTTTCGTGCTCAGTCTCGTTTCCTCCCTGCTCTGATTTATAATAAGTTGGACTTTATAGTGAGACCATCTTGGTCTCACCAGCACCAGCAGATGGGCCTCTAGGTTCCTCTACTCTTTCAGCAACCAGTGGCATGTTGCCACGAACTGCAGTTACCTGTGTGCATTCTTATTACGTCTATTAATTTAAGAGCTCCTTGAGGGGGAGAGACAACAGCTTTTATCCCATCCTCTAGGGGGACTTCAAGTCCATGTAAAATGCGACATTAGCTGAAATCCATATGTGGCTACCTTCTTATTGCCAATCTGTTGATATTTAATATTCACAGAAGGAGGGGAAGAGGAATAAGTTCCAATCAGCTATAAATGAAAACAGAAATGGAACTACTCACATGTTTATTCCCACTTAGAGTCAGATTGATGGAAGCATTTTTTAGTTCTGCTTGAAATGGAAATCTGGCCTTTGGAAGAAAATTATTGATTTTTTTTTAAGTAGCAGCCAAGTGTTTAAACTTAATTTACATAATGCCCGATAATGGAGAACTTAAAATGTCTGTTTAAAGACAGATAGATGGACAAGTTTGTGGTTTAGATTTATTTTAAGGAATGGTTGTATTTTAAAATTCCAAGTATCAATTAAAAATAAATCAGCGATAATACTGAAAGTAAGCTTTTTTTCACCCCATGTTTTAATAATTTTAATATGTTGTATTTTGACTAACATAGTATGCAATATTCTAGACATCTTATGTTGGAAGCCACTGATATACTGGAAAGTGATAATGACAAAAAGGTTTGCACATTTTTCAATAAACAACCAGAATACAGTCACTGTATACACAAAGTTTATTGTAAGCTGGTCATCTATATGGTAGGAGCAAATTATTCAGCTTGGGGAAAAATGGAATTAAGTGATGAATTTTACTTTAGTTCAATTAATTTTGTTTCTACAGATAATTTCTGACCCTAGACTTCGTTTTGAGTTAGCACTCCGAGAAGCTGGACTTCATAAAGCATTTTATGCCAAAGAGGTATTACCAAAAATCAATCCCCTGAAACCTCCACGAAAGGACATGGAGTCAACTGTATTTAAAATCTAGAGCTCATTCTCAAATCCTATTATATGTAAACAAGATTTTTCTTTGAATACATTTATATGGATAACAAAATAACTACTTTCTAACAATTTTTAAAATATCAGACAAGAAATCAAAGTACATGTTAAAACAACTTTGCCTTTCTTTTATGATTCTTAGAATTTCACCCACTGTTTCCTGTATCTTTGTTATGTCTGTGAGTACTAAGTTTTCTAAGACTATGGAAATTAATTATGACATGCATGGTATGTATATAATCATTTAGTAAATTGTGTTTTGGAGGTTGCATTCTACATGAAAAGAGCTCAAAATAACCATTTGTGAGAATTATTTCTGGTACCTGCTAACATGCATTTCTTCTTATTTCAGAATTTGACTTTTTAATTATGGAAGCTTCATTATCATTAATACTTCTATTATTTCTTGATTATTGTAAGAAGAGGCTTAACCTTTCTCTAAATTTAGAAACCAATTTGGTATAGCATGTTTACTGCAAACCAGTCATCCAAACAATTTCATTTTGCAAATGAGCCCATAAAATAAATTAGAAATTAGAAATACATTTCAGGCATGGATATATCAGTTTGGTCTTGGAAAATATATATTTGTATGGTTGTTTAGAAGGAATATTTTAAAATTCATAATATTTAAAATACCATCAAGCATTCCAAACTTCCTATTAAATATCTAGATGGTTGTATAGAAAAGGAATGTTTCAAATAAAATGTTTCAAATAAAATTCAGGCGTAAGTTGTCGACTATTTCTAAAAATTGGTTATTTAATCAAAGTAGCAAGTCAGTATTGTTGAAAGTTGCCTTTATTACTGTTAAGATGACTCCCCCCATATTTTCTCTCTATTACAACTGCCTGCCGTTTCACACCCACATCCAGCCCAGGGATTGCCGTCTCCAAGCAGTTACTGGAATAATGTAAAAAAAAGACAAAAACTGGTGGAATATTGGTTTCATGATTGTCCCCAACATGATGGGACTAAATACATGTCCAACTCATCAAAATGGCCCTTTGCCAAAGATTCTCTGAGCAAAACCCCTTATCTAGACTCCAAAATTCAATTTGCCATGATGCCATTTCGGCAGCATCGTATCCTAACATGAAAGAAGGAAACTAACAAAACCCATGGCGTAGTGAGCCCTGGGTCTTCCCTGAGGGTGGCTCCTGTGGTCACTGTGCTTTCATGGGCCGTCAGTCTGCTCTATGGGACGCCTCAGACCATAAGCCGAGACAGCCCTGCTCCGTCACAGCCCAGCGTCTGCAAGTGGCCAGACGCTAATAGTTCTCAGAGTCCACAGGTCCTTCCCGGCATCAGAATCACTGCTGTCCAGGGGAGCACACTCAAATCCCCGCTGAATAGCATCCCTGTTACATTGTTACACTTCTACAACAGTCAGGTGGCTGGTGCTGCCCAGCAGGAGGAAGCGGCCGTGACCTGAGAACTGTACAGAGTTGTGGTGGTGAAAACATTACTTGAGATGTGGGCAGCAGCCCAGCTGCACACTGTGTCCACACTCAGACCCAAATAATTTTTCTTTCTTTTAAAACTAGTATTATTATGAGTTACCCTTCCCTGGGCACAAATTGTGTGCTCAGCACTCTGTATGTGTTTTACATATAATATCGTATTTGGCCATTATTTTACAGATAAGGAAATAGGTTCAGAAAAGTAAAAGAATATGCCCTGAAATCCAAATGGCTAATAAACTTAAGAAAAGATGGAAATACCAATTAAAGTCCCCAGTGAAATACCAAGTATGTGCCCACCAGATTGGCCACAATACAACTAATATAACAGTACCAAATGACGGTACAGAGCAATGGGGAGCACCCACTGGTCTGGGGAGTGTAAGCTGAAAAGTGTGGACTTACCTGCTCAGGCTGAAACTGCCCGTACACTTTGAGCCAGGAATTCTGCTCCTAGATATATGCCCGTGAGAAGCCCCTGCATATGGGTGTAAGGAGATGGAACTCTAATCTCTCAAAGGAAAACAAACCAATGTTTATCAGTGGTAAAATGGACATGAAAATTGTGGTTTATTCATATCTGGAATTGCATATAGAAGTGAAAAAAATTCAGCATGGACATAACAGTGAAAGGAGCCAGATGCAAAAGGGTACATACTGTGCTGTGTTTCATTTATGTAAAGTGCAAAAACAGACCAAACTAACCTGTGTTGTTTAGGATACATCATAGGTGGTGAAACAACAGAAGAAAACGAGAAAATGATTAACACTAAAATCAAGGTAATGATTACCTCTCAGGGATAGAGAGGCAGACGTGGGTGGGGCCTTCCAACTTACTGGAAATGTTTTGCTGCTTAACGAGGGTAGTGATTATGTGTTTCTAATTATTCTTTCTTGAAGTGTATGTATTTTATATACTATTATATCTCAATGCTATAAATTCCCAATAAACTGGAAAAAAGTAACAAAAATTATTAAAAGTATAATTTCTTAGTATATGAATGTATCAGCAATAATCTTTCTAGCCAGTTTCTGATTAAATATCCCCAATTTACAGGAATTCTGAGTTAGCAAGGCCGTGTCTGCCTGGGAATCTTATTTAGCCTGAAATCAGACAGGATCCCTTTAATTTTCTCTCCTACTCCCCCACCCCCAGCCCTGTGCTGTTTCACATAGATGTGTGCCAGTCTAGATTGTCAGGCAGGCTTAAAAAGAAAGAAAAGAGTATGTACCTAATAGGAATAAGCACTGGACCATGAAATTTGATTTCATTTATTCATGAGTGTGTATATAGTAGGTCACAACCAAAATGTATTTCTTAGTGGGTAGTGATCCAAAAAAAATTGGAAACCACCATCCTCAGTCCCATGGTTAATAAATGGTACAGCTTGATTCAACTCCACATCTTTAAGGGTGATGGGCTCACCCCCAGACTGAATGGAAACAATGTCATCCATGCACGATGAGAAGTCCCTTATGTCCCCACCACCAAATGTGCAATTACACCTAAATCCGCATTTACCTTTTGCTTCCTCTAACAGAGGGAGCAGCTCTCTGAAGACTGATCTTTCCATGTGTATTTTAGGTTCAAACCCTCAACTCAGCAAGAATTTCTTATTTTTGGTTATGCTTTTTCTTGCCTACATTTTCAGGCATATAGGCTCAAATAAATCTCACCTTAAAAATCGATCTCCCTTAGCCCCACATATTCCTCCAGCTACCAGGCCATTTCTCTGCTTCTCTTCTTAGGTAAACTTCCTGAAAGAGTTGTCTGTAGCTATTTGATGTTTCCTGCTCTCTCTTTCCAGTTACTGTCTATTCATTCTGATTTAGCTCCGCCCTCACCCTCCACTGACAGAGCCCTTAGCAAAGCCACCAGTCAACTCCATATTGACCAGCTTGATGACCACTTGCAGTCTACTGCCCACTCATGGCAGCCTCTAACTCAGTTGATGACTACGCCATTAGAACATGCTCCTCTCTCAGCTCTGTGACAGCGATCTGCTATACGTCCTGCTGCTTGAGGCGCTGCTGAATCTGCTTTGCTGACTGCTGCATCTCTGTTGATCTCGAAGTGTGGTAGACCTCTGGGCTAGAACTTTTACCTCTTTATTGCTGAATCACCCAAGGGAAGATCCTTAAACACCATACTTTAGCTTTAGTTTTTAAATTATGTCTTTTAATCTATGGGCCTCCCCCTGCATCCTTTTTTTTTTCTCCTTGAAATCATTTGTTGAAACAAATTTATGTGTAGAATTTCCTATGTTGGATTTTGCTGACTGTGTTCTCTTGGTGCAGTTTAATGTTCCTCTGTTCTCTGTGTTTGCTAAAAATTGGTATTTGGATTTAGAGCCTTTATCAGATATCAGTTCAGGTTCTTTTCTTTTTTGTTCAAGAATACTTAATTGTGCTGTGTGTTTTCTCATGAGGATACATACATTACCTGTTTGGATCTTTTAAAAAAACGTAGTTACCATTAATTCTCAATGCCTAGATCCATTAATTAAGTATGGATTGCATGGTAGAAATACTATAATTCAATCACTTCTTCCTTTATTAGCTGGAAACCTTATACATAGAAAGAAAAACTTTCCTCTTGTGGTATTTGGTTATATAATATAGGTAAGCTAAATGTTTCTTTTCTTATCTCAACTTATCAGTTTTCAAAATAATGAGCTGTTTTCCTAACACCCTTTAAAAGTGATCAGTTTGTATGTTTATGAAACCATGGATTTAAATGTGTTTGATGTTTCAGTTTCTTGAAGTATTCTCCTTACTGCTACCCAAATGATCCTTTCCTTACCCAATGGAAGACTTTTCAGTGGCTTCAGGTTCTTCTGAGACAACCTGTCAAACTTGACAAGTTCCTTGCTATTCCAGTTATCTATTGCTTTGTAACAAAGCATAATGGATCAAAGCTACAAGATTTTACCATCTCTCATGTTCTGTGGGTTGACTGGGTTGCACTGTATGGTTCTTGCTTGGAGCCTGTATTAATTATCAATCATGGCCATAACAAATTACCACAAATGTAGTGGTTTAAACAATACAAACTTATTATCTTATTTTTCTGAGGGTCAAAAGCCAGAATTGGGTCCCCCTGGGCTAAAATCAAGATGTTGGCCAGGCTGCATTCCTGTGTAGACACTGTAGGAGAACATCTGTTTCCTTGCCTTTTCTAGCTTCTAAAGGCTTCCGACATTCCTTCTCTCAGGGCCCCTTTCTTTTCTCTTCAAAACCAGCAATGGCAAGTCTTGTGCTCACACTGGCATCATTTCATATCCCTCCTCTGCCTCCCTGTTCCACTGTTAAGGGTCCTTGTGATCACACTGGGCCTGCTGCTAATCCATGATGGCCTCCCTAATTTAAGGACAGCTAATTAGCAGCCTTAATTCTATATGTGGCCTTACTTCCCTTTTGCCGTGTAACATAACGTATTCGCAGGTTCTGGGGATTAGGAACATGGCCATCTTTGGGAAGCCATTTTTTTTGCCTATCACAGGGTCTTTCTGATGCTTACAGTCAGATGTGAAGTGAAGCTGTAGTCCTCTGCGGGCTGGCGTGGCTTGGTGGCCGAGAGGACTCGCAAGGCTGGCAGGCGGTGCTGTTCATCATCTGGGAGCTCATCTGAGGTTATTAACTGGACCACCTACGTGTGACTTCTCCATACAGCTTGGGTTTCTTGTAGAATGGTGGCTGGGTTTCTAGATGGCACTTACTAAGAGCAAACATTTTTACGAGACAGAAAGTACAAGATGCCAATTAAAATCTACTGCTGAAACTAGTGTGGGATTTTTTCCTCCATATTCTATTCATTGAAGTAATTAGGAGGGTTGGGAAATAAGTTACACTTCTTGATGGAGTATGACAATGACAAGGTCACACTGTAGAAGAGTATGTGAAATGGGAGAGATTTTTTTCATCCATCTTTGGAAATCTGTCACATTTATCTCACATGACAAGATGTTCTAGGCTCATTTTAAACATTTCCTTCCCTGACATGGAGTCAGCCTTTGCTCTAAGAAGCCCTGGTTCTTTTAGGTAGAAAACGATATTTCAAGACCAAAATTTGCTAAAGCTTCTCAATGCTGCTGGGTTAGTCTCCATTTCTAAGACCTTTCAGTGAGTGTGGTTAAAAAAATATTCACACTATATGTCTATATATTTATCTCTGTATATCTACACATACACACATGCACACATGTATATCCACACACATACATATACACAAAATACATATATGTGTACATATTTTATTCATTCTGTTACTTCTAATTCAAATTTTATAGGGTTCTCCTTGATATCTTCTAGTTTACATTAGTATTTTCTTTTTTCCTCACTGAAAATCTTGGTGTTCAATGACATGAGAATGTTGCTCTGGCTAGAACTTCCAACACCATACTTTATAGAAGTGGAGAAAATGGGCATCTTTGTCTTACCCCTGATCTTAGGAGAAAAAGCTATCAGTCCTTGTCCATTGAGTATGATATTAGCTGTAGGTTTTTCCTTTATGCATTCTTTATTATGTTGGGGGAGTTTCCATCTATTCTTAGTTTGTTGAATGTTTTTATCATAAAATGGCACTGAATTTTGTCACATCTCTTTTCTGCATCAGTTCAGATGATCATATTTTTCTTCCTTTACTCTGGGAATGCGCTGTATTATATAGATTAGTTTTCATATATTGAACCAACTTTGCATTTCAGGAATAAATCCCACTCGTTAATGGTGTATAATATGATACTGAATTATGATACTGAATTCAGTTTGCTAGTACTTTATTGAAGATGACATCAATATTCTTAAAGAATATGGTCTTATTTTAGAAGTAGTGTGGCTCAAGATAGTTCTAACTTCATAGCTTTACAATTCTCTTGTTTTTATTTTACCTTTTTTCTATTAATAATATTAGCTTCTATTTTACTTAGGGCCTTATCTGTTGTATTTTTCATTCATTTGTTCCTTCTAGTATAGTGTGTAGTGGAATTGCTGGATGGTATGATAATTCTGTGTTTAATTTTTGAGGAGCTACCATACTGTTTTCCATAGTGGCTGCACCATTTTATATTCTCAGCAGCAATGCCGAAGGGTTCTAATTTCTCCGCATCCTCTCCAGCACTTTTTATTTTCTGTGTGTTTTTTTAAAACAGCCATCCTAATGGGTATGGAATTTACCTAATGATTACTGGCATTGAATATCTTTTTATGTGCTCATTGGTCATTTCTGTATCTTTTAGAGAATTGTCTATTCAAGTTCTTTGCCCATTTTTGAACTGCATTATTTGTTATTGTTGAATTGTAAATGATATTTATATATTCTAGAAATTAATCTCTTATCAGATAAATTATTTACAAATATTTTCTTTGTAGATGATATTTTTACATACTACATATTAATTTCTTATCAGATAAATTATTTACAAATATTTTCTTCCATTCTATGAGTTGGTATTTCACTTTCATTTCTGAATTTTTTTCTTTTATTTATAATTTGTAATTTTTTTCTTTTGTTTATAATCT